GCTGTCTTCCGAATAGCAGCGATATTGTTTCTTCTCTTGTCGCCTGGCTTTCGGCTGCTGGCTATCTGCACGCCGCTAGGTTGCTGTGAACATCGCCTTTGCTACCCGATTTCGCTTGTACGCCTTTTTGATCTTGGTTATCAGCTCGCTGTCAGTGGTCACATCGCTGACTGCAAAACAGAAGGACACATCATTGAAGCTGGTCACACTCAAGTCATGAAAGTACTTCGTCTCCGGTTGCAAGTCTGGTCTTCGGCTAAGCGCGTCTGCGATTCCGTTCTTACCTGGAAGGTATGAGAATGTTGGCTGATACTCCGCGAGGATATCGTACCAGCGCGGAAGACGACGATTCGCCATCTTCTGAGTAAAGAGACCTTCAAGACGCTTGTGATCCGTCTTCACGATTGGTGGCTTGTCCAAGTAGTAAATCCGGAAAGCTGCCAGCGCGTGAACAATTGCCAGAAGTTCTTGCTGCTGCGTCGGGTCGGTTTTCATTTTCCTACTGGTGTAAGCAATGGGTAGCTCAACACCATCGACAATCTGGAAGAGGGCTCCCCCGACTGCAACCTTGCTAGCGTCCGTACGTAAATGCATAGGCTATTGAAGTCGAGCAAGTGCAACACTGGGGAATTGCACTGCCGTTTCTTCAGCTCCTTGAAGCTCTTCAATTGCTCTACGTCGAAACGAATCTTCGCATTGCGCTTGGACTTCTTCTTGAGCAAAGTAAACATACTTGCTGTCAGCTTCGCGTAGTATGGACAGAATCGTTGGACATATCCAGCTAAGCCGAGGAAGCTGTGAAGCCCCTCTTGCGCTCTTAGAATTGGCTAGTCCTTGGTGGTCTGCACCTTATCTGGATCCATTCGCACGCCGTTTCTTCCAACAAAATCTCCAAGGCATGGAGTCTCGTCGGCACAGAAGACGCACTTGGACAACTGCACGTATAACTTGTTGCCTCACAAGATGTCCAATGTTTTGCGAAGAGCCTTCAAGTGATCTTCAATCTCTGAGTCTTCGTAAAGATGTAGATGTCATCGTAGAGCGACTTTGTGTTCTTCAGATCGCGAAAGAGTTTCGACGTCAATCGATGCATCGTCGCTGGCGCGTTGCAGACTCCCATTGGCAGTACCAGGTACTCCCAGAGTCCGTTGGGCGCCTGGAACGCTGTGAGCTTGATATCTTCTGCACGCATACGAACTTGGTAATACGCGGACATCAAGTCCATCGCTGAAAACCAGTACCCTCCGGCCATGGCGTCCAGTATGTCTCCTTTCCTTGTCATCGGTATGCTCTGCCGTATCGTATTGGAGTTCACGTACCGATAATCGTGAACGTTCCGACACCCAACTGTTTTCCGGACGCAGAAGGTTGTCACCGCGTGTGGGCTGATGCTTGGTCAGATAAATTTCTTCTTTACTATGTCTTCAATCTAGAGCACGATCTCACGTTGATGCTCAGGTGACTGCCGCCACTGTTGTTGGTACATTGCAAGGTTGGAATGTTTCACGCTGATCCTGTGCTCGATTTCACGCTTCTCCGGAAGGCCTCCAGGGAGTTCAGGTACTTCGTCAGCAAGTCAAAGGCAGAATTTGCCTGGAAACTTTGCCGGTCTGTCTCCAGATAACGTTGAGCGTTTGCTGATCCGACATTGTCGGGTTGGTCTCGCCGCTCCAAGGACCGAGCGACGTTTTTGATCATTTCGTTTGTCAGAACCAACATGATGTCTGGTTCATCGATCGACTTGGTCTTGATTCTCAGAAACTTTCGCAGTTTTTTTTCTCATGATGAACTTGGTCTATACACCAGCTTCATCCGTGATTCCCATCGGGAACAACTTTTCCACGACGAACATTTCTTCCCTGGCATCGTTGCTCCCAGCAGCGGTACCGTCGCGTCTCGACGACTTCCTCTCGTCTTTGTGCTCTTGCCAGCTGACGCGTCTTCCAGTCGCTCGCAAGCAACTCGTGGGGTCTCACTCTGCTCTGAGTCGCGAACGGGATTGACCGCGGGCTTCACACCCGTTTCCAGCGCGGCACCTCGACAGGAATCGGATCGTTTCGCCGACAGGCCTTTCGCTCCGACAGATCTCCGATGCCCGGAGGCAATTACCGGTCCGCCTTCCTCGATTGGCCCACAGGTTTCACCCACTCGTTCTTAGCGCAAAGTTCTCTTTTTTGTTCCTTCGATTCGTCGACGTCTCCAGTCGATCTGGGGCTGCATGTCCTCGAAAAATGGTATTCCAAAGATGTAGTCAAATTCCTCAGGTATCGCGTAGACAACTGCGACGCATTCATACGCATCGTCTAATCCGGAGACAATGATACATAAAGGTAGTACCTCTAGCTGGGCCTCCACAATCTGGTTGTCTCCTAGCTTGAATCGAATGTTCTTGGCGCTGAACTTCGTTGTCTTCAGCTGGTGTTCTTCTACCCACCGCTGCGACACGTAGATCGTGGTTGCACCACAGTCTAGAAGCATCTTCAATTTTTTCTTCATCTTGCCAGCCACACTGATATCACCGCCGACGGCGAACAGTGGACGTGACTTGTAGACTAGAGGGTTTTCACTCAGAGCATTAAGGCTGACATTATCAAACTTAACTGTTCCGGTTACTTTCTCCTCCACGACAGGAACCTCTTTCACTGTCGTGGCTTCTAGTTTCCCTGCTTCCCTTGATCCTTCTTCCACGCAAAGCAGTTGGTCTTGATGTGGCCAGGTTTGTTGTAGAAGTGACAGGTACGAGTCTCCTTGCTCTTCAAATTCGAGATCGCTTTGAACCTCGGAAGGATTTTCTATCGGACGATTTCTTGCTGTCTTGGGATTGGTCATTAGAGGTCTTTGTGTTCCCATGACGAACCTTGCGCTCACTAGCGTCCTCCACAAAGTATGTCGCCTCAAACCTGACAGCTAAGTCCACGGCGTTACTCAGTGTCTCAGGATTTCTCGAGCTTCACGTAGCTTCGCGTGCGAGGCTTAAGACCGTTTGCGTGGAACAGGACTTGGTCAAGCACGCTCATACCTTCGAATCGGAAGGTGAGGGCTGAGTACTCACCGTTGTAAGTCTCGATATCCGCTGTCTGCTTCAGACACTGGAGCTTTCTCATAGTACTGACAGGTAATTCGACGCCTCGAAGTGTTGGAGCACATGCCCACGGAAACCCCCCACGTGTGCTCTTCCACTTGCGTCGTCGAAGCCCAGTGCAGGAACCACCCCGAAGCCAATTTCTCCGTCGCCGACCTGGTATTCGTGGGCTCGCGTCGTCGATCGCAATCCCGTTAATGCGGCAGGCGTTCTCGATCTAGAACAGCCATTCGCGTACGTCTCCCCCCCCCTCTTGCCGGTGAACTTGAAAAAGTTGCTGGACACTCGCGTGCGCTCCGCCATCGCTTGATTCAGCCGGTCGATCTCGGCTTGAAGCTGCGCGCTCGTCGGCATGGGCTCTTTGCTATCAGGTTGCTGGGACCAGCTAGTGCTACCAGTTTATCCAAGTCAGGGGAGCTTGGGGGAGAGCGCGTCAAAAGAAAAGTGCCGCCCCCGCAGCTCAGACAGATGGAAGCTTCTAGAAGCTTCCACAGCCGTCCTATATCTGCCTGGATATTAATTACAATACTATACATACCATAGTACTACTAACAACCCATTGCAATAAGATAATAGTATCACCCAATCGGATACATTTCCGTGTAGTTTTGTGGGTAGAATCGTCGTGGCCAACCTGGTGCTTCTTGAGTGTATGGAGGACGACGAAGTGGACTGTGCAGCCCGTGTTGGGACGTTAAACGCCGTTACGAAAGCTTTTTCACGTTCGTGAAGATGATCGTACTTCTATGAGGCGGCGGCTAGCCGCTTCTTCACTCGGTTCCTCTCCTCGAGTACTTTTATATATTGAAGCTGCTTTGTGAGGACATGGGCTGCTTTAGCCTCAAGGGCGGAGGAGCTACTGAAAGAATGAAAGTCCTGTTGTTTGTCCCAACGCTTCCGCTCCGCCATCTTCTCATTAGCAGATGTACACGATCGTTTGGAGACCGACCTTTAGAGACGCTCTAATAATGCAAAGCGACCCACTAATGGTTATAAATTTAGTGCCGTTTCGTGGCTCCAGCTTGAGCACGGACAGCCCATGCATTGCTGATCGCGGTACATGTACCGGTATCAAGACGGGAAGATTCCCTTGCCACAAACATTTGCGCATGATCTACATGCATTCCGATGGACTTCATGTAAATGTTTATTTGCCATTGCTGCCCCATTGAATCATTCGCAAATTTGCATACGTCAAGCAGCATCTTCATTTCTTACATCTCCCGCGTGTCGTCCGCTTTAACCGCCAGATCTACGGCTCAAGATGAAGTTTCTCAAGTCTCTGTTCGATAAGAAGTCTCGCAACGGTACCGATCGTGCACCTAATGATGTCGTGATTGCTAGAATGCTGCCTCCCATCGACTTGACACGGACGACTCGTCCTATCACGAGCGCTGGCAACGGGGAGTAGAAACCCAGAGTCGGGATACTCACGCTGTACATGCTGCTGTCCGATATTTGATACCGACAGCTCCAGATTTAGCCGGCAAATTGACAAACATCAATAAACGGTGGATCATTAAGACACTTTTTAATTTTGTTGCGCTGAAATAAGCTACTTTTAATAACTTTGCGCTGCGTTAAAAACAGAAATGGTCTGTTTTCTTAACTAACTTAGCCAAGCCAAAATGGCTACATGCACAGAAGAACTTGGCCTGATGCAGCAGAACGAGATCAGCTTTGTTGTGTCGTACAGCTGTACAAATTTCATCTTAGATTTGCGATCTCCTGTCCTGTAGTTGGCAAGCATTCAGGCTTAGTCCTAATCATTTGAAGCATTTGTTGATGCGTCGATGCACTAGGGTGCTTTGCCCCCTTCAAAGCAGCGGCTCGGATGAATGAGTCGTTGTTCATTTTCCAATCTGCACTGCAAGCACCCCCCCCCTCCACCATCTCCCCACGCAAGCTCACCGCCATTATGAGTGCACAGCCAGGTTTCAATGAGCCGTGGGGCAACGGCCTCAGGCCCACAAAGAAGCAGATTGACCGCTGGACGGACGAGAAGTGCGTTATTCTTTGCTCTGTGAAATGTATGATTATCTCTAACTGAATGACCCGACTACTCCAGCTCGGCCAAGTGCCTTGAATACGTCAAACAACACGCAGAGCGCGGCAATCCAGCCTTCGTCATTAACTGCATCGACGAGTTCGCGTCCACGAACCACATGATGAACATTGGACAAGTGGTAAATTATTTCTGAGGTTGCGTCCGGATTGGGCCTGGATTTGAGGCATGGGATCTACAAATGGAACGGTGAGCAACTATGAGCGGGGTCTGAGCTTTGGTCAGAGCTATGTTTCAGGTAGCTGTAGTCCGTTGTGTAACCACTTAAAAGTGGCGAGTGTGTAGGGAAGAGAAGTTGCCAGCATCCCAATCAAAACTGTAACCGCTACGCACTCTGTAACCACTACGCACTCTCGATCGGGCAGGGCTCTTAGTTTGACACTTCCAATCCTTACTTCTCCTACTCAACAACTAATCCGCTACTGCTCTGGACCATGTCCTCTACTAATCCAAGCCTGCATCCCGCCGCTGTGCACAGCCTGTCTCCTTAAACCCAAGCTACTCACCCAATAAGAGCTCCTCCTGGTGAAAACATGATCTTCGAAACAAAACCAGCTGCTCGTTCCCCACCAGCCTTGGTAGTAGCTCACTCAGCTGATGTGCATAGTGATCGCTACGCTACAATCGCCAACCTGGGCGGGTACCAGTACACTTGCGCTTGGACATCGCGCCAAAAGATTGTATACCGATGCAGTTATTACCGTGGCAGACAGTGCAACGGTAAAGTTGAGCTCCGTGCAAACACAATGGAGTTTACAAATTTCGTTCCACATACATGCCGTGCAGAAGCAGATGTAGTCGCTAACGACCCGGTGGATAATGTGAGGAAAATACAAGTCGCTGTCGATAAATTGGCCCGCGATCAAATTGCGCTGTCTGCCACGACTATTTGGTCTCAAATAGAGGAACAATTCTACGGAGGAGGCCAAATGCAAGTCATTGTTGGACAATCGCGCGAGCAAGTGCTAAGTCGTGTGTATCGTGCACGCAACCGTCATTTTGGCGGCAACATTCATGGATGAATTGAGCTTCCACCTCTTTCACGCGTTCAAGACCAACCGCTAAACGTTTTTCATTCCACTATATTAGTGGCTTTGATGACAGCGGCAATCCCAGCAGAACCATCGGCTGGGCTCACCTGGAGCTGATTGCTTTGCTAAAGTACTCGGGGACTACGATTTTTATTGACGGCACATTTAGATGTATGCCCCGTGGATTTTGCCAATATGTGGTACTTATGGTGCACGATCGCTCTACGGGGTACTATTGTCCTGTTTTTTACGTGTTAACTACACGACAAACAATGGATTCGTATTATGATCTTCTCCATTTCATCATGCAAGCTACTGACCAGCAACAGGAACCTAGGGAGGTGGTATGCGATTTTGAGAGGACCTTAATTGACGCAATTGAAGTGCAGTTTCCTGCAGCAGACATCATCGACTGCCTGTGTCATTTCAAACAGGCAGTTCGTCGTAAAATCCGCAAGCTTGGTATTTCAAACAGTGCTGCAACAATCGCAATGACCCCGGGGTAATGAATATGCTCACAGTAGTGCCAGAAGAACAAATCGAGATTGGAGGTATTACCTGCAGCTTAAAAACCGCTGTAGAGCAGCTAACGTTGCGTACGCCCGCTTAAAATGGCGAGCATTTTGGTCCTACTTCAAAAGTACTTGGCTCAATATGTACAAGACTGACTTGTGGAATGTACATGGGATGAGTGAGCGACTAGTTACACGGACTAACAATCCCTTAGAAAGGTTTAACCGAGCGTTAAACAGGGCGTTTGCAACCCCGCATCCGAGTCTTACGACCTTTGCTGCCACCGTTGAGGCATTGGCTAGAGGCCACGTTGCTGTTATTGCTGCCATTCGTGATCGTCGCGCTCGCGGATGTCCTCGCGAGTCAATCCAGCTACCGCAACCGGTTGAACTTCCTGTTGAAGAAGAGATCTCAAGTGGAGGCGAAGAAGATGTTGATGACGGTGCATCCAGTGAAGGTGAAACGGACGGTACCGTCAGCGATGACGACGACGAGGCTGGAAATGGCGGCGACGACGATATGACAGGTGAGTAGGACAGCTAGAAAACGACATATGCGCTAGTAACAATGCGCTCCGGAGGGATGCACCTTATATTCTACACTTAATCCAAATTGCATTTACAAAAGGTACAGCATTTGGTAGGGCCTGGATTAGCGGTCTGGTTTTCCATCTGACCTGACAATTAGACCATACCCAATTACGACCGAATAAAAAGCTTACCGGGCAAGTCAAGCGAGCCGTGATTGACGAGGAGATGCGCAAGAAAAAGTCAGTCGTGATGGCAGAACTGGGCGCTTACACTGGCTACAGTACCGTGAGGTCCGCGAGTCTGCAGAGTGAGGTCGTCGGCAAGGAGTCGCATTACTACTCGTTTAAAAACTCGCCAGTATTCGCTGCTCGCGTACGTGAGATGGTAGAGATTACGGGGCTAGTTAAATCAAGTGACGGTGTATGTTGGGGCGCTCTCAGAGCAGTATCAAGTGCTGCGTGGCAAGACCGTCGACGTACGTGACTAAATTGTCTGCAGCTGTCGCAGTACTTCGCTAACAGTGCTTTTTTGTGTAGTTGTACTTCATCGACCACGAGAAGACGGTCAATTTGTCCGATCTGAAGATGATTATCGGCAGTCAAACGTTGGCTCCCAGCTCTGTTATCGCCGCAGAAAGCGTGGTGAGACTTGGTGCGCCCGACTATCTCGAGTTTATTGAGAACAACCCTCAATTCTCGACTGAGCGTCACACAATCAGCTGTGGACGTGACGGCCTTTTGCTGCCGGACCTGTCCATCGCCACATTCTTGGGATAATGATATCCACATTGTTTTAGGATGTGAGTTCCAAGTACTTTTCTCTATTGATTTTATAGTACTTATATCAATGCATTTTTTTCGCCATGTAATGGGATCTGGAAGATAATTGCACTGTTATTTGTACCTGCTGAACATGTGCAAATACTGGCCGACGATTTTGTCGGCATTGAAGATATGCGGGGAAGCTAGCGTGTCCAGATGGACAGCGTCGAACCCGAACAGCTTTTTCGCCTCGATAAAGAACGATAAATCGTGCTCTTCGTGGCCTGGGGCGTGGTGGGCAAAAACTTACAAATACCTGTTAAGACACAGAAAATTTCGATCACAACATTAACAGCCAATGCGATTCACATAGAAGAAGAACGTGTCGCACCTTTCCTCCAGGTGACAGACACGCGTCGATAAATTTCAGCAAGTCTTCATGCTTGGGAAGCCAACAATAAAAAGGACCATCTTCAAACTTCAAGTCAGCACTCGAAACTTACCAGGCCATGCAGCCATAGACACTCTGCAACAACTGCCACTTCAAATCGAGCTTTGTCGAGTCGTCTGGGGCTTCAAACGCTTGTTGCTCGTCCAACACGGCAGACGGCGAAGCATCAAGACATTTCAGCAGCGCAGCTGTGTCACTGCCCCAGAGATGTTCCCGTACGTCACGTCTCCCAGTCCTCAATCAATGTGCGTTACGCTTGATATTCGTTTCAACATTTTTCAACAATGAGTCGCTCGGGTAATCTGCAAAAGACCACTCCAAGATGTAAAGAGATTTAGAAACACTTTTATTGATCCCCTCTCACCTGTCATCACATGCAACTTTGCACCGAAATGGAGTACCACAAGCGACGGCAGCACCCTGTAGAATAATTAACAATGATCGTCTGTAAGTTCCCTCGTATCTTATGTCGTTTTCACTGAAAAAACCACGAAGCTGCGCCAAATTTCACGATCCTCTGACCCTCCATCAGCTCGGGATGTTTCGCAAAGTGCATGGCGATGAATCTATGGACAGCAAGATGTAGCATAGGGTTGGTAGATTAAGTTGCAATATTGTTCTTCGCTTGAGCTGCAGTAGAAACGCACCGCTCCATTCCAGACAGCGCAAATGAAGAGCGAGCCGGGGATTAGGGGCGGACCGAGGGTCAAAATGGGGGAGTTGAATTTTTTTTGGCAGTCTTTCATACGTTAAGTGCTGCACAACCAGTGATGTCAAGCAAGCGACATCAGCCGGCGATCACGACGTACTTCAACAAGAAGTCACGTGTAGTACTACCAGCCACAGGCGATACGCTTCGCCAAGCCCCCGTGCTGCCTCCTCCAGAGGAACTGCACACCGAGCACCATCGTGCGGCATCTGATTGGTGCTCGAAATTTTCCTTTTTTAAAACAATGTAACGGAGTGTAGTGCTGCAGATTTCGTAAAGTGCGACCCGGCTCATAGGCCGCCAAATATATTCTTCGTTAAGCAACTAGTAGAGCATCCCGGTCTTTTACGGTCTGTGATTCAAGCCTATGTCTCGATGGGACATCACCAACCACATTTACCCCACTATCCTGGACACAAGGTAGGCGGGTGCTTACGGTCATATTCGGCTTCTTGGTTTGAAAAGACCGGTGGCTTGAATATTCAGCCACATCAAATGCAGCTTACTGTTTGCATTGTTATCTTAGCCGAGAAGTGATGACGACAGAACGCGAGCTTACGGTCTATGCTCAACCAAACAAAGGATATCGAAACTGGAAGAAAGCCACGGGCAAAGATGGATTTACAAAGCACGTTGGTCAAAGATCCTCCAGACACCATTCAGCTGCTCTAGAGTTTGAAGCTCGTAGGACGGCTGAAAATGATGTGTGATTCGCCTTACAAGAGCAAGTGAATAGTCAGCGAGCTCAGAACCGAGCGCGACTTACTTTAATACTCAATATTTGCCTCCTCTTAGCTAAACAGGAAATCGCCTTTCGCGGCAACGACGAGAAGGTTTGTTAGTTATTGCTGCTGACGGTGCCATATTCTCGATAACTACAGTGGTCACGGTAATGAATCTCATTGAAATTATTGTATCTCACACAGCAATTGATCTCCATGAGAGTATTAATGAACTCCCATTAAATAGTGGGTGGCATAATATATTTCATAGCTGTTATATGTAGCCCTGAAAATAATCTCACATCTAAATGTCGGCATATATCATATCAGAAGGTAGAGTACCGATCACCGTCGCCGATGGTATTTCCTCTTTGTCGCTTGTGTTCAACTCTGTGTTTCCAGCAACGTCTCAAGCGAAATGATCCGGGTATTTTCGAATAATTTCTTGCAGATGAGGAAATAATTGTGTTGTTCTCCGTACTCCATCAAGGTCCAAGGACAGACCACTTCTTGTTATAGCTTTGCGAGCGTAGGTGATGCCGGTTTATCTCTGTGCGAGTTGACCTCGCGTCCAGCTTGATCAGCAAGAGACAGGAAAAACTTCTGGCCCGGATTCCGCAGATTTCCCGACCACGATCCATCTTTTCTGACTGTATCCTGCCACTGCTCTCCCTCGATAAGGTCAATCTTATTATCGCTCCACAGGCTATCCCAAACATCCTTAATCTTGGCAATCACGAAAGAGTCCGCTGGTTGACACAGATCCGTGGCGTTGGCAGGAAAGAATTGTGGCTTGGCATTAAGAGTAGCCAGCTCGACCTTGCATTCTTCTTCGCCTAAATGAGATGCGCAATTGTCCAAGAAGATGGTCCTCGTTCGGCCTAGGCGATCTGTTTTCATCGCTATCTTCTCAGAGATATACTGCCGAGACACTCTCTATCCATACACTCTTTAGGGCCCGTACGATAGCAAACTCCGGGTACATCGTCCTTCACGCCGCGGATCGGATATTTGGAGTCATTGTTAGTGAAGATCATCATTGGAGGCATAATTCGTGCTCCAGGACCACCTGATATCCTCACGGCCATCGTGATGCCCTCCCCGACTGAAACATCATCCGCGTACTTAACTTGCTTGTCGCCGACAAACCCGAGCGTCTTCTTGTTGTCAAAGTCGACTACAAAGTGAGGCTCATCGATAGTTTCCACAATTTCTTCCCATCTTCAAATGCACGCTTCACCTTACCTAGGTGGCGCGCAACTTCTTGATCTATCGCAGCCTGCTTAGCTACACTGACCTGCTTTTTGCCGGTTTAAACTCGCAACACGATGTCATGATTCTCCATAAAACTTTGAATCCACCGTGAAGTCACCTTATCGTAGAGCTTAGCACCGTTCTCATCTACACTTTCTTCATCATAGCCTTCTCCTTGAGTACGTAGGATTCGTAGTGCCAATTATTACTAATGGTCCAAAACATTTTGAGCTTACTACTCATCTCGTTAGACTGTGGGGAGGTCGAATTATCAAACTCAAAACTATCCTGAAGCCTTTGCTTACTACGATTCGCGTCATCGTTCATTAAATCATTTACTCGCTTTCTCTTGGCGCCAATAAGGGCGCAAACCATTGCTGAATCGTACGAGGAGTGCGTTTTCCGAAGATTTGGAGCTAGCGAGATGATTAGGCATGATCGGGAGCCAGGCCTTATGTCCGATTTCTTTCGAGCATTCAACCGGATCCTGGGGCAGCGACAGCGAGCAACCATGGCATATCGTCCCCAAGCTAACGGATCGGCCGAGCGCATGGTGCAGACAATCACGAGAGCACTCAAGATCGAGTGCTGATCTGAACCAGGGACCAAACGCGGTAATTCACAACCTTGATGCTGTGCTCGACGGACTGCCGAAAAAACGACTCGTCATTACGGATCGGTTCTACTCGAGCGTGCTGCTGTCTTCGATTCTCCTACAACGGGGTCTTTATCACGTGGGCACCATTCAGACGAACCGGCGCGGATATTGCAACACGATTCTATACAAGCAAGCCAAGAGGCCAAAGAAGATGAAGAGAGGGCTGTATCTAATTGCACAGTCAAAGGTAGAGCCAAGCATGGTGGCCGTTTCGTGGATGAACAACCGACCCGTTCACTTCATTGCCACGGGCTGCGGTACTGGTGTGGTAAGTTTGGTAAGACGTGCAGGTGCTGACACTGTTGACGTCCCATCACCCCAGCTCGTCAAGGACTACCAAGAAGGCATGGGAGGCGCAGATATACAAGATCAGTTGCGGCTCCAGCGATATTCAATACAGGTACTACCATTTGTATCCTACATTACTTTAGTTTCATATTGACAATTGTTATCGTGTACACTACAGGGAGCGATGAAAATGAAGAAGTACTATCGTACTATCTATCTCGGACTCATTGACATGGCGTTAGTCAATGCCTACATCATCCATCGCCACGTCAAAGCAAGATTGAACCCAGGTCGTGCTCCACCCACGCACGCAAAATTCATGAGATCTATGCAAGTCGCATTGCTGAACGTGGGAGTTGCCGACTTCGAAGGAGACCCATCTGTCGAAGCTTTGGCTGGTACAAGCGTTGTGCTGTCGACACACCCTCGCTACACACTCCCGGCCCATCACACACCTCGCCAAGTGGATATTTTTCGCACGACAAGAGCAAAAACCGGAAAAGAATCGAGCAAAAGACGTCAGTACGGATGCAAAGTGTGTTCATTACTTCGCCCGGCAAAGACACCGTGGGAGACTACGTTTTACTGCGTTGAGTGCTCAGAGGAAAGGATGAATCGCCAGTCGGGGGCACGAGGAAAGATTTACCTAGGCCAAAAGGTTCGCCAGCACGACCCGTCGGGATCAATAAGCTCAGCAACTTGCAGCCAGATTTGACACAACCTTTGGGGCGCTGGTGCTCGTATACCCCCTGGATTGAAGACAATTCGCATGCGCTCACCAAGCGGCTCAAGCTCGCTCCGCACTGGAGAAAATATTGATGACAGCGATGAAGAAGAAAGCTCGGCCAACGAATCTTCAAGGGAGGCAGAAATAGAGGTTAGTGCAGGAGACGTAGGCAGTATTGAAACTGCGTGCATCTAATACAAAGCTGTATGAAGTGTCAACCGCGTTACACTAGGAATGATTGTAGTCCGTTTGAGTGAATGCATTTGTAGAATTTTGGAATTTTTTTCTACATCTTCATTGTGTTAATCCTGGTTAATATAGAGTACACGATCCCGTACATTGGCTGATAACCTGTACGGAACAGGGTAGATAAGGAGTAAGGATTGTGAGCTTCGCAAAACTCCGCAAATAGTAAAATCAAGATAGAACACTATCCTGTATAATACAGGGTAACTTTTGCCCTAAATCGCGGGGCTAGAGGGGTTACAACCTGCAATATTCCTTCTTCTGTCGAATACAGAATACGGCCTTTATTGGGTTAAATATCCTTTAAGGGCTTTATTTATCGAGTGCATGGCTTTAACGAAAGGGTTAACACACCAATACCCAGCTGCTTTTTCGTTACTTTCAGCTCCCCTGCAATCATCTGCGCTAGGTGTAAGCTACGGACAACATTCACGCAAATTTGATAACTTCGGCGGTCGTAATTTACTGTGATCTGAGAGTAAGAAATGAGATAGGTTTTGGTCACCTCCTAAAACTCAGGGTATAAAATTCAGAGAGCAACAACACGTTGTACTGTAGCAATGTAAACAGCAAATATCGACCATTGTAGGCTTGCAGGTGCTTCTGAGTCACATACTAGAAGGCTTTCAATGTAAGAAATGACGAGATTCGTGCGTAATACATGTTTCCACTAGGCATACACACTGTTCGACCATGATTCCCTTCTCCCAGAACTATGTCCTAGTCGTAGTTACGCGTCCGGACATGTTTCACAATCATCTCAGCAAGCTTACTGTTCCCCCGTATAACATCCTCTCCAATCTCTTCCCTGATCTTGTCCATTTTATATTTGTTCCACTTCACGAACATCTTACGTTGATACTCCTCGTTTGTCAACATTATCTCCCACGTTGCACTGGAAAAGGGCCCCCAGTGCCATTTACCGACGACGCCTGGAGCTCTTTCTTCAGTGTCAGCACCGTCGTAGTTCCGTAGCAGACGATTGGGAGCTTGGTGAGCTTGATCAGTGGCAGCGCATTGCGTGAAATATACCACTGCAGCAGCCACCGCCATGAAACGTACATAGACGCATCACACCTTGGAGAATTACTGTCGACTAGGCTGCCTTAGGCCTGGATGGAGATTTGTAAAGTGAGAAACACAAGAACTGGGAGCGGGGCCCAGTACTGCGCTTCATTTCTCAGACCCCAAGCTTTACAGTAACAGACAAGGCCCTGTGTGTAATTCACAGACTATTAGTACGATCTACTCGGCGCTGTATTTAATCAGAACCAGAATAACGCATGTTTTGCAGCACATACGTATCGCCTGACGCATCCGTACCGATGGTTACGGCATGTTTAAGAGAACGGGAAGGGCTAAAATTTGGACTAATCGTGGGTACGGTTTACGGTAAAATGGTTTACAGGACGAATTCTCGTGCAGTGAAAACGTAGGCATCCTGATAAACTCTAGTTAGCAATAGCAGTACATGTATTCACATTAACCAGCATAACGCAATCGCCTGACGCATCCGTACCGATGGTTACGGCACTTTTAAGAGAACGGGAAGGGCTCAAGTTTGGACTAATCGTGGGTACGGTTTACGGTAAAATGGTTTACAGGACGAATTCTCGTGCAATGAAAACGTAGGCATCCTGTAAACTCTAGTTAACAATACCAGTACATGTACAGTATTCACATTGCAGTTAGCCAACGATACAGTTTCTTCTACTCTGAATTCACATTGCATTTAACCATGAACGACAAGTTTCTTCTACTACACTGTACGGTTATATATCGCTCTTATGCTCCAGATACGGTCACGAATAGTACCTGGTTCGGTACGAATACAGTACACATGGCCTAAACTTTTTTTGGCTACTGTTTTCGTACAGTGTTTAGAGCTACATGTAATGAACTTCTGTCTATTAGCTGCTTGATGTTGCCACTGTGTGTACTGTACATGTACGATAATAGGTTACATAGAATGACCTTGTCCACTGCTGTTTTTTATCGATCGATGCGTTGAAGAGCGCTTTTGGATTATCGTAGGATTTGAAAGCCCTCCTTCGCGGCACAGTGTCATTTTGCAATTTGCTTCCCAGGGTGACTCACTGGCATTCCAATCTGTCTAATTTTCAATGCGTCTTGAGTACATACGTTCTCCGTAGTGCTTACAGCGGCTCTTCTCTCATCGGACATCGCTGGGTCAGCTACCACTCGAACACCAAAACGAGTGGAACTGAATGGTGTTGCTGGGCAACAAGAGGGAACGGGCTACAAGTACGAGAGACGTTTCCGACGCGTCGTGGCACTGAGGGTGATCCAGTCGATGAAGATAGGGCCATTGCTGGTATTAACAGACTGTAAGACTGGAAACACTTCTCTGAAGGTAGGTAGCCTGTACAAGATGTTTCAAAATGTTTAAAAAGTGCTGATTGGCCAGCTCACGCAAGAGTTTGTTAAAAATCTGAGTATGGATTGGACAAACAAGCGCTTTCCCTCAGCCAAACGAGACACGTTGGAGGCTGTCATATAGTAGACCATGTGTCGTTGATGGACTATCAGGCGTTTTATGGCCAAGTGGGTGATAACGTTTTACAAGAACTTGAAAAGTGTATCATGTTATAAGCAGAAGCTCAAAGCACGATTTCAGCCAGCTTTCTCAAACACGAAGCAATTTTTCCTGGTACGGTAAGAGCTTGCTTTATAAAAAAAACTGTGTTGTTTTAGTTTAGAACGCTCTCGTGGAGTCAACACTACCACATTGGCGCGGGCAACGGTACGTTGAGATCCCCATAGTTTACATGGGTCACAATTCTGTTGCAACATCCAATGTGAAGCACATAGCTGGCGTCATCTACTACATGTCTCGTCCTACTCACCATTTCTTCTCCACTAAATATATGACGATAAGAGTGTGTCCACCGCCGAGAAAATCATCGCCAGGGGCGCCATCAAGTCAGGTTCGTTACTCATTAGATGACCCAAGAGCATCTGAATAGCTTACTTTCATCGACGAATACCTATAGTCCAAGGCTCTTCTCCACAAGGCTCCACTGGACTGTTCACGTGGGTCCCGGATGCCAACTCCGTGGCAATCAGCACCGCGTAACCCCAGCATAACAAGAGCATTACTGTCGCACATCATTTCCGTTATCCACTGTTACCACCGCGTCCACTGACTTCGACCCGCTGACAATGTGTTGCAACTGGCTTGCTAGTTGTGTAACCTGCTCCTGCTCCTGGTTACTATTGTCAGCCGCTATGAGCTCAATTCTGCCCAGAAGGCTGTAGTAATAGCCCACCTCATCTCGCAAATTCAGCACCTTGAGCCTCATACGGGCGTTGTCTCGCAGTAGGTCTTCCTCGAGGCACTGTGCTACCTGGACTTGGCGGTGTAAATCGTCCACAATACCTGTGCTTTCCGTAGTTTCCTGTGACTCTTCTACAGCATCATTAGCGTCACTAGCTGACGTCTGTGTCTCTGACTGAATAGTGCCCAGAGTTGTACTCAGTTTGACGCGTTTGGGAGGTGGCCAGGCGCTGTCTAATGTGTTGTCTCCGGTCCCCAATAACTTTTTCTTCACGTCCTTTGCTTTAGATGCCCAGCGAGCCTCTCCAGACCGCACCAACTTAGTTGGAGTGCGGATCTTCGTGGGTGACCGCATGCCAGTCAGTGGGGCTGATGGAGCCTTGGAGGGTGAGCTACACGCCCGAGACGACAACTCGCGCATCGTTAAAACACTTTTGTCCATTTTTGCGTAAATATTGAAAGTATTTTAGATGCTAAATAAAATATGTGGCAAATGCGCTCAAGTTAAAAATGGAGAATTGTTCCACATTTTAATTAGGTACATTTTTTGCATGGACTACTTTTGTTATTTTCCTATTCCCACGTACCTGAAGAAGTAAAGACTCAAGGACATCAGGACCATGCCCATTAGGGCACCATTGGAAACGAGGTGAATGCGACCATTCGCGTAGGTGTAGGCAGTTGGAAAAATCTCTTTCATCGTAATGGTAGACATCATCCCGGAGATAACGCCGTAGAGAGCTGCTTGGGCGAAATCGTTGTCATCTTTACGAATAATGCCGAGGGCGATAAAGGCCCCGACATGCTCTGCGATGGCGGCTACGATACACCACATGATTCCTTTGCACTTGCTACCAGTGGCAAAGTACACTGGTGCGGCCACCGCAACACCCTCCGCGATGTTGTGGAGCCCGACGCCAATTGCCATGGATAGACCGATCGCTGGGTCTTCAATTCCGGCGGTGAACGTGGCGATACCTGACGGGATATTGTGCAACGCGATGGCGATTCCACTCAAAATCCCCATCCGCTGTAGCTTCTCTTTGGCAGCCTCGTCCATCTTGACGAACCCCTGGTCTGGGGGCGATTCCAGCGAAATGCTGTCGTGAACGCTAGCATGGTCAGACACTCTCGTTTCGCTCCTGCTGCTTATCTCCTTCGGTGTGTCGGGACCAATACTCGGTGCGAGTTTTTGTACGATGAAGTCCACGCCGTAGACGACCATTATCCCAGCGCCCATACAGATTGTTGCTGCCGTCCAGGACTTTCCGCTGAGGGAATTGTAGCCGTCCAAGTGTTCAGGCTCAAAAGCTTTGGTGAAATCGAGCACGGAGTACCCGAAGCTCAACACGATGGACAAGAAGATCGTGACTCCTCCCGAGATGCTGAGTGTGGTAGCCAGAGCCATCGGGGTGGCTAAGCGAAGTGTATGATGGCTACAAATGATCAATCCACCCGCCACTGTCGCCAAGGCTGCTAAAGCATTGAGCAGGAACGCCGTACCGACATGACTGCTTTGAAGTTCATGATCACTCATGTTCTGCGTTGCTTGGAGCACCTCGAAGCTAAGAGAGCTGTCCCTCGCCGTCGCAATTCTCGAATGGCTAGAGCATTCAAGCTCATCCTGGCTTATAGAAGGATATCGTCTCTTCGAAATCACCTGTTGTCCACACTTCCAACAAGTTAAAGGCGCGGTGGTAATATCGTCGTGACTGGACTCGATAGGGGTTGCTGGCCCCGAATTGGCTCAAGTGGCGCGATGGGACCAGCATGAGCGTTACGATCCCACAGCGCGGGAGATGACTTTGTCGGCACTGACCATCTCGGAGTGTGTTGCACAATTTGCGGTGGATTATCTGATTCAAAATCATTTCTTTGATACAAACAGGTAGACACTTCACGGAGAGCTATTAATAAGCTGTGAAACCACATAATATGTTATTTAGGTGCCTTTTGAAATGGTATTGTGAGCCGGATTTGGCAACAATTAGCTTCTACCCAACACGAATCTTGATTGGACAGCGCAATCATTATTTTCAAGTAGGTTTCAGCCAATCTCACTAGTGTAGCCATTCAATTTTCCCCAATAAAAAAGCCCAATGGCTTACCACCAACCGCACTTTGCACCATTACCAGTCGAGTATGGCGGACGTCGAGACACCTCTTCTCTGGTGTGTAGACGAGCTGAATGTGGCCACGCGTCGCGGTCGCGTAGTGCGCAAAGTGCGCGAGCGCTACCTGCGCGACGACTTGAGCTGCTCGCTGCCTCATTGCTCGCTGTGTAGCGCCGACGACGATGCATCAGCGGCCACTCACGTTCTAGGCACGACCAAGACGCTTCTGGCCGACAATCCACGCGATGGAGTGTATCTATTGCCATCCATGAAGACAGTGCTGCTGCAGATGGATGCTCTGGATTTCAGTGCTAAGCATAAGAAGAAAACAAAGAAAGACACTACAGAACGAGAAGTCTTTGCGGACGTTCTAGTGTTAGAGACGGTCTGGGAGTTCGTCAAGCGCCAAGACCTGGGCGTCTACAACCGTCTACGCGCTCTACTAATGAACGCAGACAGACGCTTCGTGGTCTTCGCTAACGAGCACCATAGATCGTGTTTTGTCCAGAAGAAGCAGATGTTGCCAAGAGGCTACAAGGAGGACACTTCGGAGGACACTCTTGTAGAGACGGAAGAGGAACGTAATGAACGCGCTGTAGCCACTGCCTGGAAATGGTACGCCGGCCACTTAGCCGAGCTTGAGCGGCAGGATGTCAAGGTCCAATTTTTAGCCAATGACGTTGAAGATCTCAAGCAGGCTGAGAAGTTTGGTGTTTGTGGAGGCAAAACCATCGCAGAGTTCTTGAAACCTGTAGCTGATAAATACCCAGAGCTTCTGGATCTATTGTCTGCTTCAGCTGCGGAGGAGAAGGCGCTGACTGCAGAGGGTGTGAGTACAACCAAAGGACGAGGCAAGAAGAAGCTGTACCCGGAGCATTTACCGGCTGCTGAGATACTGGCGGGGATTAAGAACAAGCGCTTCTTTAAGGGAACAATCCGATGCAACAGAGACCACTGGCTCGAGTGTCACGTGTTGATTCACGGCGCTAACTGCGTCAAGATCCCGGTTTTGCTACAGGGACGAGAGCATATTAACCGTGCGATTGATGGGGACTTGGTGGCGATTCAACTGCTACCGAAAGACCAATGGAAGAAGCCGTCGGACTCGTTTGCTGCCAATGGAACGGCGGCTGCGGAAGCTGCTGAGGAGGACGAGGATAACGAAGATGCCCAACCGGAACCTGTGGGCGTGGCGGAGCCTACCGTGTCATTGGAACAAGTGGCATTGGTGCAGAGTGATGCGTCGCAGCACGCCAAGCCTGCTGGGCGTGTCGTGGGCATTATCCAGCGCAATTGGCGCAAGTTCTGCTGCTCTCTGGAGGCTCCTCGTGATGGTGTGACGCTGAATGCGTCGGGTAGCTGCTTGGTGGTGCCGGTGGACCGGAAGGTGCCGAAGATCAAGATCCAGACGCGGCAACAGGAAGCGTTGATGGACAAGCGAGTGCTGGTGGCGATTGACTCGTGGCCGGCATACAGCAAGTTCCCTCTGGGCCACTACGTGCGTACACTGGGCGTGATTGGCGACAAGGAGACGGAGACGACTGTGCTGCTTCTGGAGCACGACATCCCGTGCGACCAGTTCAGTGACGAAGTGATGCGCTGTCTGCCTGCTGAGGACTGGAAGATTACACCCGAGAACGCCTCAGGACGCCGAGATCTACGTGACCTGCCAGTGTGCAGCATCGACCCGCCCAACTGTAAGGACATCGACGACGCTCTGCATGCCAAGTTATTGCCCAATGGGAACCTCCAAGTGGGCGTCCACATTGCCGACGTGACGCACTTTGTGGCTCCTGGCAGCGCGCTGGACGAAGAAGCAGCGGACCGCGGCACGTCGACGTATCTGGTGGATCGGCGTCTCGACATGCTGCCAGGTCTGCTGACTACCAAGCTCTGTTCGCTGACGGACGTGGAAGATCACTTTGCCTTCAGTGTGCTGTGGGAGCTCCAACTGGTGGGACAGAGCGACGTGCAGGTCGTTGACGTACAGTTCTGCAAGAGTCTGATCCGGTCCGTGGCGTCTTTGTCGTATCAGCAAGCGCAGGAGTTCTTGGACGACCCAGAGGCTGGTGGCGTGTACGGCCAAGACTCGACTTTGAAGAAGAAGAAAAAGGGCGAGAGTGACGAACAGTTTGAGCGCCGACAGCTGCTGGGAAGCGGCATCAAGACGCTGAACACGATCGCGACGCGGCTACGCGCCAAGCGTATCGAGGCCGGCGCCTTGACGCTGGCGTCCCCTGAAGTGCGCTTTGTGCTGGACACGGAGACGCAGAACCCGCTGGACGTGCAGATGTACACGCTGCGAGACACCAACGCTCTGGTGGAGGAGTTCATGCTGCTGGCCAACATTACAGTGGCCAAGAAGATCGTGCGTCACTTCCCGACGTTCTCGATGCTGCGTCGGCATCCGGCGCCGTCCAAGCGCCAGTTTGACTTGCTCTGCAGTCAGGCCAAGGCTGTGGGTGTGGAGCTGCACGTGGACACGTCCAAGCAACTGCAAGACTCGCTGGATGCGGCCGACAAGGAAGCTGCTGGGAGCAAGAGGAAACACGGCGACAAGGCGAACCCGTACTTCAACAAGCTGCTGCGGATCATGACGACGCGCTGTATGATGCCAGCGAGCTACTTCAGCTCCGGCGAGGTGGCGCCTCCCGAGTTCCATCACTACGGTCTGGCTGCTCCCATCTACACGCACTTCACGTCGCCTATCCGTCGGTACGCTGACGTGGTGGTGCATCGCCTGCTGGCTGCCGCTATCGGCGTGGCTCCACTGCCCAGTTACCTCGAGAACAAGTCGCATCTGCACGAGATCAGCGACCAACTTAACCGTCGACACCACGCGGCGCAACTGGCAGGAAGAGCGTCCGTGACTCTGCACACGGTGCTCTACTTCCAGCAGTATCCCACGCGCACAGACGCCGTCATCACCAAGGTCAAGAACAACGGAGTGGGCGTCCTACTGCCTCGTTTCGGCATTGAAGGCATGATCTTCCTGTGTGGGAAGGACGAGCAGGACGACCAAGATGTTGTCAAGTTCGACGGAGCTCGTCACACACTCACGTTGGTGCAGAAGAGTCGCAAGCTGCAGGTGTTCGACCGTGTCCGAGTCAAGGTGTACGTGGCGCTGACGTTCGGCAACCGCCAGGAGCTCAAGATGGACTTGCTGGACGAAGACGATGACGAAGACGACAACCAAGAGGATGCGGCCCAGAAGGAAGCCGAAGCGAACCTCCGTGCTGCTCGCAAGAAACGCAAAGTGGCTACATAAGTTGCAGAATCTTGAATGGCACGTATGTTTCTTCAATATTCTTTGCTTCGCATTCACCGACAATCTAGCAATTTTTCTACTATTAATAACGATGGGTTTGTAGAGATGTATCTCCTCATTCATCTTTTTGCTTTCACGTATGCAATTTCGTTGTTGCCTAAAAGGACAGAAACTTTGTCCAATTTTCTATAATAAAATGTAATTTATAAAAGAAAATCGGAGATTCTTTGCTTTCTTACAATCCAATCAGCACGCTCGCATGCGTACTTAGCAATGAGCTGATTTTCTACAAATGCGAACCTATGAGCTAAAGCTATCAGTGTGCTGCGTGCTTCTACTTTGCGTCACATTTTAAAGATTGCGATTAGTACATATGTACTGTATTAAAGAATGTCCTCGTTTTAAGAACACAAATAGGGAATGCAAAGATACTTCACCTTGCAGCTCTCGTTTTAATTTTTGAAACTGGTATTTTCTACACATGCAATGGTATTTTATTTTAGAATGTTCGAAGCAGTTCAATACTACTCCGTAGTACGATGCAACGTCAAAGAATATCGCTTGGAAGGTTTCTATACCGTCAGACTGGAGTTTGCCATAATGTTTATGATGACAAAAAATCTGGATTGATTTGATTTCACCCCTAACCAACTATTCTTGTTCATGTGCCATAATGTTTATGAATAGTGACGAATGGAACTATCAACTGCCGGAATGATAGCCACTTTGGAACTCACCGGTATCTGCAACAAGGCTACTACAATAATGCGCCTGATCCTGTGGGCGCTGTTTGCGACTCTGGTCGTCTTTTTTTCAAGTGGTGAAGCCTCTTCATTCGAGACGAATAAGCCACAGAAGCGCACACTGTACAGCAAGTCGACTTCGCGCAGCGGTGTTGTCAATAATCTTTCCAAGCATGACCAGAGAGTCCTGAGGGGTGAAGGCAAGATGGAAGACAGGGATGAAGCAGAAGAGCGAGGTGTCTCCCATACAATAACGGAGAAAACCAAGTCCATCGGCAAGAAAACCCTTGAGACACCTAAACATCTTGGCAAGAAAGCTGCAGAACAGCTGAGACGTATCAAAGCATGGTACCTGGGGAAGGAGGCAAAAATTCTCGAGCGAAGGTTTAAGGAGCTAGTTGCGCAGAAAAAATCTTATGACGACGTCAAGAACCAATGGTCCACCCTATTATACACTGGCAGGTGGTCGACACCGTCAGGGTTCAAGCGGTTCCTGACGAAGTATGATGATTGGCTAAAGAAGAATGGTTACTTGCACCTTGCAAAGAAAGATAACCCATGATGAAGGCCTTGTGTGACACCGGTCCGAACTACGTAGTACTAATATACTACAGTAAAACTCTTTGGTTTTTGCTAGCAGTATTATCTTTTTTTATTTTTGACAGCTACTTTTAAACAAGTATATTACTACTAGTAGTAGTTTAATACATATTACTTCGAAGTATGAATTCTACTTTGTAGTTAATTATATTAAAGAAAGTGCTCGGAATGCAGAGTTCAACTTGGACTACAAACATCAAGTGGTACAATATTGCTACGCTTCGAGCGGTTCTAAGCTATGTGCGCATCAACGTCTACTAAATACATTGACCAGTACCGGTATTTTAGCTCCATCTGTAAATCACTGTATAAATTACAGTAAAAACAATTAGGATTTAAATTGCAGGGAGGGATACGCAGACTTTATTTCGTCCCAAAACGTTAACCGAGTTATAAGTAACGATATATGACATGTAAGAGACCTTTAGTCCACGGTAGCTTTTGACAGCCGTCACATAGATAATTGAGAGTGCTTAATGTTTGGAATGCAATGCTAGCCTATGCATTTGCCTAGCTTAAACACTGTTGGGTAAATTGCTCGCTGATACTGGGTAAAGCAACTTTCTGGTGCTGTCCGTGAGATTAAGGCCAAAGCACATAAAGCTACGAACGGGCTAGTCCAAGTATGAGCGCATCTCATACTGGGAGCTGTGCTCATACTGGGAGGACGTCACCACGATGTTCCTCCAATGACAGCTCCACTGGTTAATACTTTGTCTGCTACCCTGTACAGATCTAATCTTTTCAATATGCTCGACCTCAATAATAATTTATTAAATTGAAGATACAAAAATAATGTTGTACTGCCTGTATTTGACTCAAGATTTATATGTTTGTAAAACTAGAACCTCCTCGACAGGACAAAAATGATCATTCCAATACGACTAGGCTCAATAATCAATTATGTTAAATACCGTAAATATTGGTTTCATTTTCCGATCGTTACACATGTATTTGGCCGTTGAAACATTTTTTTGCATTGAAGCTGAAATTGAGAACTGAAAGCAGATCTCGACTTCGTCTCAATTTTTTATTCAATTAACGACGTTAAATTCACTTCGACAGTAGAAAATATATGAAGTCTCTCCTAGCATGAGCGAATAATTTTTTTCTAACCAGTATTACATTTTGGTTTAGAAAGCTGATTGCGGTATTTCGATCTCAGTTTGATGTCAGTTTTGTTTCGTCCGCGGACTGCCATGACGGTCTCGAGATCTGGTGGCGGGCAATCGTCCTCGTTTACATGTACGACATTAGTATAGCGATAGCGTCCTGTGTTTTAGGAGTATCAGTGCGATATTTTGAGCGGTGGAACGGTCTCTTTAAATCAAAGGGAAACGTGTTACCACAAGATAGCAAGAACAAATCGGCTAGATGGTCTAAAGAGGCGATAATGTTTGAAGAGGATTATATTCGTGTTCATCCGTGTCTTTACGTTGAGGAGCTGCAGGAGGCAGTGGAGGAAAAGTTTGGTAGCACACTGAACAACTCTACGGAAGCCGAGGTATCCATCACTGAGCACGAACTCCATCGTATGAGGTGTGTCATAGCTTGTTCTGCTGCTGCCAAATGGCGCGCCCACCCTTTTTAGCGTTAGGACGACAGCCATTGTTGTAGGCAGCGGCGAGGCCATAATTACTACACCTAGATGGAAACAACGTCAGTTAGATTATTTGTATTCACAGTTTTCTCGATTTGTTAGTACGCACTAGTGATGACACACGAAGCAGAGACGCGAGTGTAATTTAGCACAATTGTTATTTGAAGAGGTCATACCATTCTTCTCTTAAGTAAATTACTTACATCACGCTCACACCTCTCTGCCTTACACAGATACACAGCTTCAGAAGGTTGTAATGTACAACGTACGATGTACGATGTTTATCCTTGTATAAATACAAAGAACAGCTCGTACCGGCGGGCGCACGGGGGGGAGGGGGGGGGGCAGCACAAGGATGCCGAGGTTAGCGGACGGGCTTCGCTAGGCTGACACTCTGAGTCCGATTACCAATCGGGAGGGGGGGGATTATTACCGGGCGGCATAGCGCTCAGCGACACAGCGGAGAACACACAGCGACTGACTGTCAAAGTGGTTGACGGCGGCGACGTTCAGGCTGCAGTATATTGCTACACAAGGACCCAAGACAGAGGTCAGTACTACCGCGGTCCTTTAACACTGATGCGCACTTGTATCAGTTCTTCTTACCTTGGCGCGCTCTGATTTTTGTGTGCCAACCGTTGGCGCTGTTTTAGGCCCGTCTTTTAAACGTATTTAGGGCGGAATTAAATAAATGCGGCCGGTTTTAGCAATGATAGAGATATAGGAATTGCGACAGAATTATGACCGCAGAAATAATGAAAGACACAATATATGTTGTTTTATTTGCTAGCTACTAAATCACTATGCTTAGTAAAGTAGTCGATTTTTGGAAAGTACATGTATCATCATTGTTTTATTCTTAGTACTACGAGCACCAAGCCCATTTATTGATCAAAACTTAGAGGATGAGTCCAACACAGAGAAAACGTCGTACTTCTCCGGCCCGTTCAACATGATAGTTGTTTTTTTTATTGATCGCACATAGCTAAAACAATTATTTCTATTGGATCAAAAGGGACTCTGGTTTTGCATGGCTACGGGCCACTAAAATTATGGTTGGCCTAGCGTAAAGCTAACCGCGCAGTTTGGGTTTTGACACGATGCCCAGAACGCCTGGGAAACAAGACATTGCGCCTGAAACTCGCCTCAATGTAGCTGTTTATATTGCTGAACGGAGCGTCGACGGTAAACTCAGTGCGGCAGTTTGTGCAGCCATGGAGGCTTTTGATATGTGTCTCAACAGCGTCAAGAAGTCGCACCAAAAGGCTAGCTTTATATTCGCCCAGAAGCGAGTGCAACTCAAGAGCGGGAGGCGCCTGTCCGTACAAGAAGTTCTGGAGCTCGTCCAAGGGGTGCCGCTTTGCCAGAGGCAAACCCAGCGAGCATTGGTGGCTGCATCTGGTATACCACGCACTACGCTACAGCGGTATCTTGCTGATGGGACTCTACGTCGCGCATCTTCTCGTGTTAAACCTACTCTTACTGATGCTCACAAGACAAAACGACTACAGTACAATGGGTTTTATCGCATGGCGAGATGGCATTAGGTACTGTAACATCTCAAAAAGTATTATTACTCAACCTTTTAATTGTTGCAGGTGTTAATTATCTTGCTTATATTGTTTTGGCTTAGGTGCCCAAATGTACCGCATGCATCATACGTACAATACTGTGCATGTAGATGAAAAGTAGTTTAACCTCAACAAAGTGGCCACGAGATATTACCTGACAGCCAATAAGCAGTTGCCTTATCAATCCTGTGCAAACAAGCGATACATAGGTAAAATCATGTTCTTAGCCGCTGTCGCGTGTCCTCGCTACGACTTTTACAAGAAACAGTACTTTGATGGTAAGATTGGCATTTGGCCTATTGTTAAAAGGGTCGAGGCGGTTCGTGGCTCCGTTAATCGTCCTAACGGTACGCTAATTACGAAGCGTGTGTCGATGACACAAGCTCTTTACCGCGAACTACTTGTCGAAAAAGTATTTCCAACAATTCGATCCAAACTGACATGTATTTTTTAAATGTAATTTTAATTGTAGTAGCCCAATAATTATTTTTTGTTTTAAGTTCGCAGAGGCTCGACCGTGGTCGTCCAGCAGGATAATGCAAGGCCTCACGTATTAGAAGGTGATGCTCAATTAGTACATGCTGGGATGGTTGATGGCTGAAGGATAAAGATACGATATCAGCCACCTCGGTCACCTTTACCTAAATGTACTTGATTTGGGTTACTTCTCGGCTATTCAAGCTATACAGTATCAAAAAGCTACCTACGACTCTGACAAGTTATTACGGCGGTTGAGGAAGCTTTCGACGAGCTCAGGTGGCAAACACTTGACAAGTGTTCTATCACTTTGCAGAAAGTGATGGAGTCTAAAATGGCTAGTGGTGGGAGTAACGATTTCAAGCTTCCGCGCGTTAGGAAACACATTGGACGTAATGCCCGAATGCCAATGTCGGTTGTAGTCGACACCGATGCGGTTACGAAAGGATACAGTCAGCTGTATGCCTAAATTAGAAATAATTTTTAGGCTATCACTGATTAATCAATACAAATAGCTGGTTTAGACAAATGCTCTCGACTTCCCGAATAAACCTCGCCCCAAACACATCTTATTCGCGGTGCTTCTAGTAAGTCCATGCGTCTGAAACTGCGTCCAGCTGTTGTTAATTGCCCGGTTTAGCCACTCTTAAAGTACGGTGTAATATCGCTAAATATTGAATGAATTGCGACAAAAAACTATTGACTTTCTGAGCACGGCGGTTTTGATCGCAGCGTCCACGCGCATATTTACCATTCTTACAACCTAAAAAATATGTTCCTGTGCGCCGTACTCCGGGCTATGACGTGGTGTGCCTTGCGTCTACCAGCTAGCTCTTGTTTAAGAGTTTTTAGCCCAAAACTAAAATCATCATTTTGAAGTGGGCCGGGCAAGTACTTTCGAATTATTTTTAAATAATAATCTGGACAATTTTAAAGTAGCCCAAAAGATGAGCCCGAAACTAGATTTTATCGGTAGCTTTAGTGATTTATCATTAGTTTTATGTAACTTGATCACAGCCGGATACTACTGAGCACAAAATACCTCACCTGCAAAAATCAACTATTGTACTGGACGAGTGCTCGAATTCGCATCCCTGCTTCAATCGACGGTGGGTATCAAAACAGTCTTTAGCGCCCAATTAATCTTCTAACTACAAGTTAGCGGGCCGAAGAAGGTGCAGAGAACACAAAATTAGTGCCGTAAAGCATTCAAAATATAGCCACCAATATTTAATGCTATAACCATTACAATTTAAAAAAAGGTGTAAATTCGAATACATGTTTCCGATTATTATTTTTTAAGATGGCACCAAGCCCGAGACACGCTTACAGCTTGTTTCCATTGCTATCGATGCGTCCTTGGCTAATTTCGAAGTGAAGCTTTCTGGCCAAGGCCTCAAAGAAAATGAAGATGTTAGTCCTGATTTCAAAACCAATCAGATTGTCGATCAGATACCAACAAAACGTGTACTCTGTCCCGTTTATTTATATTACAGCTGTGTGTGTTACAACATACTGTAAAACATTTGTGCATGCGGACGCACAAGATTGCATACAAATGAAAAACCTCATGATTTGAAGCTTACCTTTTCTCTACTCCTATGCCAAATGCAAATCTTCCTGCAGATCCACTACTGCTGATCATCTGTCTCGTTAATGAACTGGTTGATGACATCGTCAGATTCGCTGACGGTCTCTTCAACCAGTTGCAGTCGCTCCAACGCTTCAACGAGTTGGTTTTCGTGCTCAGTTGCCGGACTTACCGCAAGTTGGCGTTTAAAGCCTCTTTGAATCACCGAAGCGCCGAGAGCGTTCCACGCTGCCGTAGCCCAGTAGATAGCATCGCTTCTAGAGGGAGGATTAAGCTGAAATTTGCCGCCTGAATTTCCTTGACGGAATTGTTGTAGCTGCTCCGACACGTGCTGAGCCCAGCGCTTTCGAAGGCGTTCTTTAAGTGGTCGAAACCAGGATATATCAGCTGGTTGGCACACAGAAGTTAATCCAGGAGGAACTTTAAGAAGGTGCATATTTAGCAGCTCTGTATGCTCAAGCACTTCATCAGTCCAATGAGCCGAGAAATCATCCCAAAGCAACAGTACCGGCTGTGCCTCATCTCGATTTGCGAAATGGTAGTCCAGAAAAGCGACGGATAAGCCTGAGTTCCACCACGCAGAGCTGTTGCCATAGATTTGCAGAGCAGCATCACTCTGAATTGTTTGCATTGTTTTCCACAAGGAGTCTCCAAAGCCATGTTGGGCCACGTAGTTGTAGGCCGCTTTGTCGGGGTTGCGCGAGGGCTCAGTCTTAACCACGAAAAAAGGGTCATACTGTTTTCCAGTCGAATCTGCCAGAAACATGCCTGTCAGGCGTTCCTTGTCCTTTCCACCACATCTGACCCACACTGTATTGACACCTTTTCTGTCCACCGTCTGCTTGGGAAGATACTCGAAGCAAATGCCGCTTTGGTCTGCATTGTAGAATTTATCTACACCAAGATCATTTTTTGCTTGCTCTACCTCTTGCCAAAAGTTGTTGGCAGCGTCTTCCATGGCAGCAGGGGTTTTCTGGCCTTGACGAGTTTTTGTTCTCAAAGACAAGCCATGACGAGACAGAAACCCCTGCTGCCAGCACCAACTCCCAGTGAAAACGCCATCTGCTACGCCTTCGTCACGGGCAACTTCCTGAGCTTGAAGTTGAAGCATTAGACGGGACACAGGGATACCCTCACCACGTAGCGAATTAATCCACTCAACAATGCTTTCTTCTCCAGACTTGCTGATTGTTGTTGCTGTTCCTGGGGCTCTGTAAGACCTCAAATTTGCCGTAGCGGTGGAGGCAACCATGGCTTCAATGTGTGTACGCTGCTTCGACCACTCGTTGATCCGCTTGCGCTTTGATACGCGTTTTGCTGGGATGAGTTGGCAGTAAAATCTATCGAGAGTAGCATCCATGTCATCATTGTTGTCACGAAGGAAATTTATTACGTCCAGCTTTTTAGTGTAGCTCTCGCACTCGCGTTTGTAGCCGTTTGGCTTTCGCCCAGCGCCACCAGGAGCGCGGCTCCGCCCTCTTGCCATGCTGGCACTTGCAGGCTCTGAATGTGAAAGGCTGGTTGTCTGCTTGCTAGTAGTTTCACCGCGGCTTTATCCTGTGCATAAATAGTAGAGTGGGTATAAATAGGTAGGTCCGCATGGACAAATGCTCCATAGTAAGGTTTTTTCAAATAGCTACATCATTATGATTGGCTAATTCTGGCGTCCGGATGGACAAAAGGTCCGGATGCACAAATGTTTTACAGTATTGATATTTTTAGACATCCTGGTATGACACGAGACGGCGCATTCGCCAACAGACGCTGAACCGCAGTCATGAGCGACGATGGACAAGAACCAGAGGTCTCGCCGCCTGAGGGTGATTCTTCTAACGTCGCACATAGTTCATTCCGGTTTATCTCAACCCATTTTACAGAAGATGCTGCTGTAACAGCGCTACACAGTGCTGATACATCTGAATACAGCCATCTACGCACGTATGGGCCGACAGAACGTCGCAAGAGTGTCTACACTTGCATTTCGCATGAGGCGTGTTCTCGTCGGCTACGGATCGTTAAGATTTCAGAGATCAACTCTTCTCATTCCATAACGACTTCTTCATACGAAGTAGAATCTAGTGGTACCCATAGCCAGTTGCTAACGCACCGAAAGAGGTCTGGTATTGACATGCAGATAAAACCAGAGGTGGATAGCATTCTTCAAGGTGGAGCAGGTCCAAAACGATGCGTACTTCTACTACAGAAGAAATATAAACTTGACCCAACCATGCTAGCCAAGATTCCAGACGAAATCAAACTGAAGAACAGAAATGAAGAAGAAACTAAAAATAATTGGGATATTTCAAGTTTTTCAGTTCTGATGGAGTGGGCCCACCTGCACATGTGTACTACGGCTGACAAGATTTTCGGAAGCTTGGGGATTTATGGGTTTATGGATTTGGCGGCATTTACTCAACAAAGTCTCGACTTTCAAAATGAATTACTTATATTGAACACATTTGATCACAAGTTTGATGGTGACACTGGGAAAGAAACTTCGTTTGGTGTTATTTTCACATCGCGACGTCTTTTTCGAAATCTGTACCGATGTATTTGTGATCAAAGAGAGACCGGTCTCGTTGGAGTTACCGATGGCACCTACCGCATCGATTTCAGTAAGTGCTATTACTAAATAATTACAAAATATTTATTACAGCTGCTAACCCATGTATATTATTCACGTTTATTAAAGATCGCTGGACTCTGGTAGCACTTGGCAGTTCTTGCTCTGTGTATGAAAGAAAACGTTACCGACATTCATTTGTACCTTGGATGTACATATTTGTGCGTACGGAGCATGAGTCTGCCTACAAAACGTTATTCTCTACAGCTAAGCGATTCGTCGCTGATTACTTCAACGATTCTTTGGTTTTAAAGTACGGAAGCCAAGATCATGCTTCCTACATTGCTACAGCTTTTTCCTCCATCTGGCCTGGTATCAAAATACTTAATTGTTATCCAAACCTTTTCAGAAAAGCGTTCGAAAAAGCTGGCCTATTGAATGACTCTGGATTCTACAGTTCTTACGTCGAGATGAATATATACCTCCTCGAGCAAGCGCGTATCGAAGAACAATTTACGGCAATGGCTGAGCGTATAGTTACATATTGGAGCGACAAAAACGAACAAGCGTACGCGGATTGGTTCAAAAGCCAGTATTTGGGCGCTCTATGGGGTACATGGTTTGCTACTTCTGCTGTGCCTGGTGTTTTGCCGTCACAAACCCCCATCGAATCCCACAACAAAGTGATAAAAACGGTGTGTACTCCGCAGCTACATGCAGCGACCTCAGTCGTTTTGAATGACACTCTCCCAGCGATCCTTTTGCTGAACAGTGACAAAAAGATTTCCCGATACGGTCATTTCTGCGAAGGTAATATTTAACTTTTCCATCATAATATGTTTGACTAAATAAAAAATTGTTTTAGGTCCTGTTCCCAGCGAAATGGTTGAACACGCACGAGTGTTTTTTCGTGAAAAAAATCATAGGAAGCAATACCTCATCTTGGATTCCCCAACAAAGCTGAGCTCCATTGTTTTCAATACTTGGGAATACGCTGTTTACCCTAAAAACCATGGAGTGGAAGTCACCGATGCCCGAGTCTCCAGGTTTTTTTTTTCATCATTTATCCAACTTAATATATCAGCATAACTTTCAATGTTTGTATGTCATACAGATATCTCGACTCGAAAAAAGGAAAACTACGGAAGAGGTCCAAAGTTCCTGATTTTAATCTGTTTTGCCTCATTGCACGAGGTTTTAGTACATCCAGATGCACCTACTTCAGACTTTCAGCTGAGCTTGACCCCTACAGTACCGTCGGATCAGGTAACATTGTGTAAAATGTTGAGATGCAAAAAATAATTTTTACAATTTATCCTTACAGATTCTGGCTGTTCGGTCACGATATCGCTGTGATTGTAAGGGGTTTTGGACTACTATCTGGGTTTGCAGTCATGTTATTGCAACACTTGCCCTGATGGAGCAATACGACCTGCAAACAGCAACCGCTCTCATGCCTGTTCGGAAACAGAGTGGGGGTCAGCGGAAAAAAACAAATTGTCTGAGCAAGGACGACTCTAGATACTTCGACGTTGGAAAACTGGAAAAACAATTCGTTCAAAAACCATCCTTTCCAATTGGGTGGAACGTGACCAAACAACTTCCCGTTGAAGACACCGAAGGAAAAATCACGTTGAGAAATGTACCTGGCCGAGTTGTGGATTGGCAAAATTGTATTGGGCCAAGAGGTGTCTATAACTGGGCGGTTGAGTTCAACAATGGTGCTAGGGAATTGCTGGAAGTGGATCAATTGGCTGCGCTGATTAACAAGTGCCACCACGAAGGACTAAACGTTACAGCGCGTCTTTTCTAGTCGAAGCGTGACTCACGACATCGTGGTGATAGCCATAGTAGTTCTAATACCACATGTTTTGCATAATACATACAGAAGTATCGATTTCCATCCAATGGAAATTGTATTGAAAAGCATCCGATTTTGTATAGCAGATAAGCCGCACCCCACGTCAACAGACTTGCCCTCCAAACGGTGCAGCTGGTCCGAAAATGCGCCTTGAATGATCGTCACTTGATCGTCCAATCCGGCGAACGAGACAATCTGAAGACACAAAAAGTGTAAGTCTATCAAGTGACGCGCAAATACACTTCATTCAAGGTACCTCACGAACACGCGCTGCAAACTCCGGTGAATACTCGAAAGAGTAGTAGTGGGAGTCGACGCCAGCCGCTTTCGCTGCTTCACGTTGGGTGTTAGCGAAGCGCACGGCACTGTAGCCCGTGTAAGCGCCGATCTCGGCCATGGCTCGTGGTGTCTTCTGTCGATTTTTGGCGTCAATGATGGCGCCTTTAGTTGCGCCAACGTTCATCATGGTGTTGTTCGCCGCGAAGGTGTCGATAGCAGCAACTACAGAGGCAGGGTCGTTTCGAGTGGCATTTTGTTTGATGAATTCGAAGCACGCAGCTGAGCTACAAACGAGCAGAGCAGGTTAGCTATTGGCATTGTGGTAGATATTTCAGTGTGAGCCACAACGTACTTGCGCTGCATCTCCCACTCAATAATGGGGTGACGGCTTTGGTGATGGTGAAGGTTACAGATTCAAACATCGAGAAGCTGCTCATGGCGATTCGTGGGGTGTAGTCGGATGCCAATTAAAATGTGAGAGAGTGTTGCTACCCCGAGACGGACATCGCAACATGGTCGTGTATTGACTGTCAATAGACTTCGTGGCGCCATGCGCATTCATTCCTAGGAATCATCATCATTCATCTTCTGAGAAACAACGTGGATCTGGAGGAGACTTCGACACACAGCGCTACGCAGGAGCTGATACGCGAAGCTAGACTGTCTCTGAAATGGTCGTTACCACTACAAGTAAGGGAAGATACCAGCTTCGTTCATTTTTGTGAGACCTTCACTATTTACCGGCAGCAGGTGTCCAATTAAGGCATAAAAGGCAGCTGAGTTTCTGTGGTCCATCAAATGGACACTAGGGATCGAGAGCTCGACGTAGTTGCATCGAATCAATCAGAAAAGCTGCTTCGTGGAAAACAAGTTCTACCATTAAATTGGAGACAAGGCCATAATAGTTTTTTTTCTCCCAAAACCTAGATATAAATCCTCAAGGTCCCAAGAATCAGAATAAAACCTCGCAAAAACAGCTGTTTGGGCTAAATACTTAGGCGCGTACAGTTTACGCATGCATTACTTTTCTTGATTTTACTAAGTACAAAGTATTAATGCATACTTCGAGGTAATATGAACTGAGTATGACTAGTAGTAATATATAATGGTAGCTGTAGAAAAATAAAAAGGATAATGCATCCTTCAAAATAAGATGGATGTGCTAACGCTCGTGTTTTCCTCTTTAAAGGTAGGCTGGCATAAAAAAGAGGCCTGTCAAGCTGGTCACAATTTACGGCCACAATCGCTCCAATACAAAAACCTTTATAAAACATGTGTCATTTTTGACTAGAAAATTGTAGGGTTCAGTTTCTGTGGGCGATTAACATGGAAATAGACACTGGGGATCGAGAGCACAAAGTAGCTGCATAGGGGTATCCACAATGTTATTATATGTAGCGTGTTGCACTCGCACCTCTGCTTGATCGATATTGATGGAGAATGTCTAAAAGTAATATCGCGACGACCACACAGTGCTCTCCATATGATCTACTATCGTTAAAACACATGCGGATAGGCATATTGTCACTACCTATAATTTCACTATAGAGATCGATAGAGCAGCGCTCGCAGAAGTAGGTGGTAGCAAAAGATTTCTTCTTCGTGTCGGTACGCAAAAGCGCGCAAACCCTACACGATCGCTGACGACGTTTTTGCGTCCCGTTACAGAAATCCAGTAATCACTCTGTTCCGGCGCGTGGGTCAGGCGCAACGGAGTGCACTTGCGCTTCTAGCTTGTTGGGCGAGGGGCACCACGACGCCAGCAACGTCTGCTGCTTTGCGCTGAAGGAGTTGATTTTGGAGAGAACTGTAATATTCTCCGGTCTTCATCGCAACCGTTCCGGTGATTCTCGCAGCCTCTTTTTGGGATACGTAGACGCTGACTAGCGCAAGGCCGACAAGCCCCAAAAATACACTTTTGTTGTGTTTATTGAACTTGGTAGACGTTTGGAGTAAATAGTGTTGTAGGCGGAGTTGGTCGTGGACGTCAACTCCGCCCATCCAACGCTGGTAGTCCCTCAAGGCGGCAGGACAGGGTATAGTAATTGGATTAATTTGCTTAACGTTGCGGACTATCCTCGACTCTGCCATAGCGGCGCCGATGGTACTTGCTTGCGGTACCACCAGTGCAAAGCCACCATGCTTGGAATAGCGACCGTGCGAGAGAAGGTAAAGTTTCCGCTTTGTATAGTACGTGGTCGTGTTTGACGCTTCTACTTGACGCGTTTGTCGTACTTAAGCCAATTGGGCGTAATGGTGCCGATGACATACACATGTATGCCAAGTAGCTCGATATTTAGCCGGATCGAAGAGTAGAATCGGTCAACGACAGCTACGTGCCATGAATGCCTTGTAGTAGAGTCAAGCACGACCTTCAAGTTGCTTACAACTGCAGTAGCACCAGTCTTGTGGTCGACTGCGTCAAGCAGCGTCAGGATCTCTTCGTTCACCAGCGTACATATCGAGTATGATAACATACGACATTCGGTGCTAAATCATTTCACACAAACACCATAAGTTACGACATGCAAATTCAGTACATGTAGCAGTGTGTAGTCCTCGAGTCGCAGGTCATAATCATTCTTGATCCATACTGATGCGGTTTGTCGGACATGAACATCCGCGTCATGTTCCGCCTGGAGGTTGCCGGTAGCACCCCTTCGTCAAAGGAGAAAACAGAAGGAAGAGTCCAACCAGCGAGGAAGCGTTGCTGCAGCCTATTGAGAACAGGGCGGAGCTTCCACAACTTATCCCATGAGCGGTCGCTCTCGTAATCAACGAAGTGTAGATCCCTCAGGATGTATTGGCACCCGGTTTCCGGCTCATAAAGCGACAAAACCTCCCGGCAGGTATATCAGTATCTTGTGCCATTGTCCAAGGTACAGCAAAGCGTCGCTGTTGGGGACAAAACATCCGTGCAACTAGCAAACCGATCACGTGAGAAATCTCGTTATTTTTAATATACTCGGGCTTAGCCTTCAATCATCGGCGGATCTGCTTTAGAGTTTCGCACCAACGATCAGGCTGTCTTCCACGTATCCGTACTGCACGCCGAGGACTTGTTTCAATCCATACCTATTGGTCTCGGTGCTTACCATCTCTCAAAGGGCGTTTTGGTATGAAATAGAATAGCGTAAGAAAAGGTAAGCGGCATACCTCACGTGGGGCGGCGACCGGTCTGGCTTCATCAATAACTAGCTCTAGACATTCTTGCACGCCGATATCGAGCTAGGATGACAACGAAGCCCAGTCTGTAGCACATAATGTCGCCTTTTGTTGCTGTACATCTTGTCGAGTAAGTGCCGATCTGAAGTGCCTGAGCATAAGCTTCATCCATCTCGACAGCATCTTCATCTGAAAAGCCATCGTCTTGAGCATCACTACGACCTCGACCGAGCTCGTCTCTGGCGTCGTTATGGTCCTCGACGCTATCATCACTCGACCTCGTTCTGAAGTTTCGTACGCGTGCATGTTCTCCGTGTCAGGTATATAGTTGACATCTCTCTTCAGCTCACGACACGGACGTAGCACTTGGTCTGATGTAGGAACAGGTGGCAGGTCGAGTTATGTGTCACTCGCTAAGCCGGATGCCTCTGATAGCAATTGAAGACCTGCTGCAGCGTCGTACTGCTGCTCCATCTGACTTAGTGTCAAATAGGAGGAATTCGTGGCTGTTGCCTGCGACAGATCTACTTAAGAACCGCTTGACAGTCTGAACAGGTCATTCAGTGTGCGCTGTGATTACTGGGCATTAGTATCGTTTTGATACACCCTTACCGATCCATGTCATCCTACGCATGTATCACGTCGTCAGCAGTCTCCACATGATCTTTACGGACACTATCGGCAGCTGAAGCCAAGCGATCAGCGGTCTACACGACTTCTTGCGCGACTTCTACCTGAAAAGTCTCTTCAGAACACGCATTATCGATCAAAGGAGCACTTGGCGTCACGTTTTTCTAGTGGACGGTGCTTTCCATGTCCCCACTATCAACTTCTTTTAAACGCCCGGATTCGATGACTGCACTCTTTCCAAAGAGCACTGTCGATCCATCCGAGCTTCTGTACTTCCACTCCATCTCGATCTCTCTTGGTGTCGGGTGGTCCATTCCACTGCAGCAAGTTGTCGTTACAAATGGCTAAAATCGATGTCGTGTGTGACGGTGGCAGTGGTGGGGGTCTTCGTTGACCGTGGCGTCCCATTGGGATAAATTCTGTTATGTGGGTCTGCACTGCAGTGTAGACCAAATCGACTGGATTCTTTCCCTCTCTTTCCACAAGTACCTTTGCTCTGTACCGTTTCTGTTTTTATCTTACCTCTCGGACCTTATTGTTTTCATTTGACTAGATTAAAATACTGGGTTTCTGATGTAGAGCCAGTTTCTATTGCTAGTCGCTGAATATTTTATCTTACAACATTGTAAAATGAACATGTCGTAAGATACAACGTTGGAGGTCAAGGGGTTGAAGTGCAAAAAAACGCGAGCCTTTGCACGTCCTTGCTGTTTCGAAGCATGTTTTGCAACTTGTGTAAAAACCGTACCACATAATAACCCTTTCGTGACATAAGGGCGACAAGTGCGCCCTTAGAGTGTTTTTGCAAAAGAAGTGACCGGATTAGGTCGCCTGGTGTGCACTTTTGTAAAATTTTAACTCATTGTGCTCCGTCAATAAAAATACGACAAATGTGCGATTCGTAATTGTCTAGCATGGTTTAACTAAGATGTATTTTTCTATCATGATGTAGCGTCAATGCATCTTACAAGAGATGGTACCAAACTATTTAAGTGATTTCGCTTAAGGGCGCTTGGGGCGCCCTCTGGAAAATAAAGATATTGGGTGTGTATTTAGATAGGTGTATCACAAAAGGGATAAACATTATGGGCACTCGACGAGGTAGGCGTATGATTGTGTCCAGGAGTGTAGTCTGCCGCTCAGTGGGTTTCTTTCTGCAGACGCCACCAGCATGATTTCAAATAAAGTAATGCACATCAAATGATAGAGGTTTTGAGGAGTAACCAATCAAATCGAATGAGAGCAGAATCGTATTACATGTATAATTAATTGAAAGGGGTAGTGAGCGAAACTGATCACATAAACGAAACTTGCATTTTCCCTTACACGTATTTACAGTTAACACATTTGCGACTGCAACTTATCTTTAATTCTGGTAATTAAGGTTAAGATGGGGTCGCAGTAACTAAGGATAGGCCAGGCAAGGTTCGCAATGTAAAAAAAATGTAACGGTGCTAACACCCGAGTCCATTATTACTGCAAACAGTTTGTGTCGATTCGCAGTTGGGCGCAGCATCCATTAATAGTCTATGAACACAAATATTGTTGGTCTTAAAATCGTCAATCAGCGTCCGTCGTACATGCACAGTACTGGGGACATGTATACGGTACAAAAATACCAACTGGGCATTTCCAAATTTAC